AATATCAATAATCCAAACACATCAAATTATTGCATCAATATACATGATCACACCATGTTTCATTAAAATCAATTGAAAACTGTAGTCTCTTATGTGTTCACAAACAAATTTTGACGTGTTTTTCCTAAGTCAAGGGCAATAACTCAAAGACCGTTCATTAAAATATCACATTTGAACTTGTCCATGATCTCATCAATATAAATGATCACACCAAATTTCATTAAAATCAGTTGAAAACTGTAGTCTTTAAAATCAGTTGAAAACTGTAGTCTCTGTTGTGTTCACAAACAAATTTTAATGCATTTTGGCTAAGTCAAGGGCAATAACTCAAAAACCGTTTGTCGAAAGATCGTCAACTTCGAACTTGACCAAGATCTCATCAATATGAATGATTACACCAAATTTCATTAAAATCAGTTAAAAACTGTAGTCACTATTGTGTTCACAAACAAATTTTGACCCGTTTTTCCCAAGTCAAGGGCAATAACTCGGCAGCAGTAATTTGAAATTAATTTTCTAATATTGTTACAGCAGACTACATTATATCTTTGTTTTGTACAATAAAGAGGTGTTCCAACCCCTAAAACTAACCCTAATGAACATCCAGCTGCACTCTATTTAAGAAAATGCAAGATCTTTATCTAACCCTAAACATGCTATATTATAATGAAATGAAATCTTATCTGTATATCCCTGATTAATGATCAAATCCCATCCATTTGAAATCACCTCTTAACCTTGTTATAAATACATTTATAGAATATAATATTAATTTGTAGATATGAAGATGGCTACTATGTTAAATGAAGATAATGTTCAGCAGAAGTTAGAATGTATAACTAGTGCACAAGACAGTATACAGAGTGTGTCGTTATGGGTCATTCATCATAAATCTGAGAGTAATCAATTAGTTAAAATATGGCTGAAAGTATTGAAAAAAGGTATTTTCGCATTTTATACAACATCTGTTTATTATAAATTTCTCTCAAACTAGATCCAAAATCAACTTTTCATCCGATCTGTTATTCTAGTTAGTTGATAGTATATGTCATCTGCTCAGATACATCTCCTTCAAGTAGATTATTACTGATTATATATTCTAGTGTAGATGCACACAAGTGCCATGATGTTCTTTTATTAGATATCTGCTAAAAATGTTAATTTTGTCATGCTCGAATCATTTGAAATCTAGTCAAGTATTTAACAAAGTAATATTTATAGTGTGAACGTCGGCTGGATTTTTGCACTCTTTTGTTTACTTTTTTTTCTTTCTTTGAAGGTGTAAACTATTGTTATTAGTTGTGAATTTTATATTCTTCTTCAATAAATATTGACTGGCAGCTTGACCGCAGATCACTATATGGAATGTTTTCTTATTGATTTTCTCATGTTTTAAATTTTCCTTTCCTTTATTATCTTTATACCCTTCCTTCTACTTTCTACTTAGAGTGGTGGCCGTTTTTGTTACCGTCTTGAATCTTGAGTAAAATTTCACATGTACACGGTGCTTTCACGACAAGATTAACGCCTTTGCTGATAGGATTTATGACAAGTTATTTTATTATTATTTAATTATTTTATCGTCGAGCATCATCATCCAATCAAATTCATTTTTATATGCCCACATGGAATGTGAATGTATATTGCCGTCGTCCTTCTCTGTCCTTCCATCCGTTCACATTTTTGTAAGCACAATAGAGACTACACTTTTTATACAAACTTGATGAAACTTGGTATGCATGTATAGTGATCAGATCTCAGTCATCTTGAAAATTGGTAATAATCAGATGAACAGTTTCATTTCTGACAGCTGTTAGTGTTACCTTGCCTAGCAAGCTATATTTTTCAATCGCATGATCGCCAACATAGTGGAAACCAACCGTCTTGATATTTTTGTCTCCTCCTGTGCCCTTGTCTGGTTGGTGAAACTCTTGACAAGACTAAGACTAATCACCGATCAAGTCCGTTCGTGTGCCCCAACTTTAAGCATTCTCAGTTGAAGCTCCAAAATGCTAGGTTAATCTTAATCTTAAGATATTGAGTTTTGTGATAAATTATGTTGGTGTGAAAATGATACAGCCTTAGTGCAAACTTATTGTCACAATTTTTACAACAGCATAAAAGGGACTACTACATCTTCTTTGAAAGAGTGACATTTGACTGTAAAAGGATGAAAAATCTTGATGTACTAAGGCAGAATCCAGCCCTGCATTGAGTTGGCATATGTTCTGCAGCATTTTTGAGAGTGTTTTTTTTTTAACTGTCCCATTGATAAGTACTGAAGGCCAGCTAAAAGATTTTGTGAAATTATTTAATAATAAAGCAAGATCTTATTTAGTCAAGCAACTTCTGTTTTCAATAGATGTTTCAATCAAGATTTTACTGGTATATCTCTATTTCTTGCATTTATAATTTCAGTTGATGTATCTCAGAAACTTCTCCTATTTTATCTATGTAATGATGTGGTGCAGAATTGTAAAAGAAAACAGGCTGTTGAGTTTTTGGAAAGTTTTAAAGGTGTTCTAGGTGAAAGTATTCAATTAGTCAAGTAAGTATTTTCTCAAATGTCAAGTTTCACATTGGTGGATAATCGGAAATGGCATTGATGCGAAAAATTCAATGGAAAACACCATTTGCAGTACTATTCTTTACACCAAATGTTTACGAAATTCCTGATAAGATAAATTAAATAGTGACGTACAGATTTCCAAGGGAAGTTATTAGTCTCTAATGACGAGAATATGGGATTGCAAGAGCACCAGTAAAATATAAACAATATACATGTTTGCTATCGGTGCTTATTGCTTAAGGATCATGAACTAAAGGTAGTGTGATGTGGAATACTGCAATTTGAAATGTTTATTACCAATTATTAATTGTAAATATTAATACTTGAATTTCTTAAGTTATATTTTCAGGGGATAAGATTCCAGAGCCAATACTTTTACTTGTCAGTCATGGAACTAACCTAAAAAGCTTGTTTTTTGGGGTTTTTTTTTTTTGTTGAATAACAGTTTGGTTCATATGTCTAAGTAAAAAAAAACTAAAAATATGAACAGATAAATAATCAGATGGTATATTTTCTCATTTAAATATTTCAGGGATACAACAATTAAACCAAAAGTATTAAGAATTTTAAATATATGGCAAGAAAGAAATGTATATAAAGCTAAATTTATTACCAAACTAAAAGCTATTCTTGGTAAGTAGTTTACATAAACTTGATAATAAAAAAAATTGCAATGTTTCCCCTTTTCTGTGAAGACAATATTGTGCTGAATCCAAATTGAATAAATTGGAGGTCTAGATGTTCTGTTTTTTTGTTGTAAAAATGCAACATGAGTAGAATGGTTCAATTAGAACCTCACAAGCATGTGATCTTGATGCTGCTAGGGCTTAGTCTTTAATAACCAATTCAACTGTGTAACTCATTTATAATAGTTTGCCCTGAATACAAATCTGGATTTCAAATCAGTCAAACTTCCTTCTATTGGTGATTTGTTGGATTCAAAGTGCTATCATTCATCTGGATTTCCCAAGTTAGAATGGATTGTTTGCCAAGGATATAATTAGTTTAAATGTGATATACCTATTAAGTAGCAAAGATGTGTTACCTAGATTATGTTTGATAGTGGTGTTCTCATTAATGATATTATGTCTAACATTATCAACGAATAAATAGTTGAATGCTAGATGAAGATCTCAGCAGGAATATCTGGGAAGCCAAACATACTACTTTTCTAATTTGTGCCACTCATTTACAAAAAGTAATTTAATAGGGCCTAAAATTACCTGTGCAGTTGAATGAGGATGCTCCAGGTCTGATTCAAAACATTAAACGGACAGTCCAGTTTCATTTTTAGAATAGATAGCATTAGAAATTATTGGTAAATGCTTGCATTGATTTCTATCGTCTACTGTCCTTACGTCTGTCCACATTTCTTGTTGACACAATAGAGACCAATCTTAATGAAACTTAGTATGCATGTATATATTGATGAGATCTCAGTCAAATACAAAATTGGTTATAATTGAATGAAGGGTGTTAGGGTTTTTAGTTTGAATTTGATAATTTGATGAAGACACTAAAGACTTTGTTATCACTTCTGCCAGTTACTTTGCCTGGCAAGCTATCTTTTATGGATTGTCTTTTTACGTGCAGATTCATTTTATTATTAAATGAAAAATGTTATATGTTTTGTAGAGAGTGAAAGTAAAGTAGTGACACCATCTCCAGTAAGTAAAGAAGTATATAAAGCAACGAAAAAAGACCCCAAGTCAAATGGAACCAAAGAATCAAAAGCTAAGGAGACACCTGCTGTACAGAAGATTGACAGTGCCCAACTTTTGGCTGAGTTCAAGGTAATTTTTATACGCCCACATGGAAATGTGGACGCATATTTCCGTCGCCCCTGTCCGTCCGTCGGTCCGTCCGTCCGTCCATCCACATTTGTTGAATGTACGATATAGAGGCTACAGCTTTTATCTGATCTTGATGAAACATGGTTTGCATGTATATATTGATAAGATCTCGGTCAAGTTCGAAATTGGTAATAATCGGATGAACGGTTTCAGAGTTATTGCCCTTGACTTAGTAAAAACGCGTTAAATTTGGCTTGTATGCACGATACAGGCTGTAATTTTTATGTGATCTTGATGAAACTTAGTATGCATGTATATATTGATGAGATCTAGGTCAAGTTCGAAATTAATAATAATCGGATGAAAGGTTTCAGAGTTATTGCCCTTGACTTAGTAAAAATGCGTTAAATTTGGCTTGTATGGACGATAGAGGCTGCAATCTTTATCTGATATTGATGAAAATTAGTATGCCTGTATATATTGATGAGATCTCGGTCAAGTCCGAAATGGGTAATAATCGGTCTCAGAGTTATTGCCCTTGACATAGTAAAATTGCGTTAAAATTGATTGGTATGCCCAATGAACGCTTCAATTTTGATACCATTTTGATGAAACTTGTATGCATGAATATATTGATGGGATATCGGTCAAGTTTGAAGTTGGTAATAATTGGATGAACGATTTCAGGGTTATTGCCCTTGACTTGATAAAATTGGCTTTAAGGCAGGCTACAGACTGCAGTTTTTATCTGAAATGGATGTATATATGGACAAGATCTCTGTCAAGTTGAATTTGGTAACAATTGGGTGAACGGTTTTGGAGTTATTGCCCTTGAATTAATTCTATGTGTCTAATTTGGCTTGTAGGCTTGATAGAGAAATTAGTGAAAAGAGGATGAATGGTTTCACATATTAAACCTTTGTTACTTTGTTATGATTTCTGAAATTTTGGTAGTGGGCGTATGTTACCTTGCCTGGCAAGCTATCTTTCAAGTTATTGGGAGATTATAACAAACTTTTGATTGAAACTAATTCTGTTTTGTTTAAAGGTTCAGGTATGTGCTAGCCTAAAAGTTTGTCGATGTACAGAAGTTTCCTGTTTGAAAATGTAAACACGATCTCTGTGAACTAATATTGAGTTTTGGTCCTGACATCTGAACAGATTTTCAAGCTTTAAGTCGTGTTAGGCAGTTATACAACCATTTGATTTGTTCATAAAACTAAAATTGAATCAGTTTTTTTAGCACTATTTTAATGTTAAGTTATCAAGAAATAGGTACATGGTATTTAATCATAGGATGTTAAAAATCAATCTATCTACCTGCAAAAAATATATAATACAATTGTGCTGAATGGGCATTATTTGTAGATTATTGTTTGTCAATAAATACTTCTATACCAAAATCATTCATGATATTCTGACAACAGGAAACTGTAATTTATTAAGTTGTTTGATAAATACTAAAAAAGAAATAATAAAACAGAACCTGAAGCATGTTGTTACCCACTGTTAGTTCAATGCTATGGGATCTTCAGTTTATTCTTGTTCTGTTTTAATCTTTCTATATCTCTCAATTGATGTATTGAACAATAGTATTTTAACAGTGGGTATTTGATAATTTAAATATTGAAATATATTTTTAAGTTATTTATATTTCAGCCGCAATTATTTATACATAAAGTAACAGATTTAAGGAAGTTAGAACTAGAAAATGATATTAAACAACAACAGTTATCTAAGGTTAAATTTGATGAATCCAGTCTTGATACCATCAAACAATTAAAAGGTAAGAGTCCAATACAATTCTGTTTTCTGAAGTACTTACATGTAAGGGGTATGCTAGTATAATTGGACAAAGTTTTTGCACATTTCAGACCAAAAACTAGAAACTAATCGGACAGAAGTAATTCATGTTAAATCTACAGAATAAAATAGAAACATCGTCCAGATTTTATTATAATATTCTAGTAGTCAATATTGTCAGTCTTCACTTGTGATTGTTACTCTTGCACTTTATATTTATATTGATAAAATTATGCATATTGAAGGCATTGCAGACTTAAATTGATATATATCCAAATAAATATTTATGAAAAACACCCTAACTTTTTCAGAAAACTGCGAAATTGACTTATATATTAGATCTGAAATTATTGAAACTTTGTATTGGTGAGATCTTTGTTAAATATGAATGATTGCTCTTGACTGAAGAGCATAGTATTGATATAAATTTATTTGCATATTGTTAAATTGAGAAAAGTAATAGTTTGATTTGCATTAGGATCAAGCTGCCATGAAATTTGTTTCTTCTTGAATGTTCAATCCAAATTGATTGACCAACAATACACAGAATTTATTGATACTCCATGTCATAATCGAACAAAAATTGCAAAATATTGTAGATTTATCTTAAATTAAAGTGAGGAGTACATGTTTATAATAAAAACATTATAGTAGAGATAAGGTGGGACTAAATCTTGTCTTTTTATATGCCCACATGAATTGGGGGGCGTATATTGCCGTCACCCATGTCCGTCGTTCTATTTTTAGCTCGTAATCATACTAGAAGGCACAATTCTTGATGGATTTTGACGAAACTTGGTGTGAGTGTTCGTAATCACCCAATGATGAACCCTATTGAAAATCAGAAGAATTTAAAAATATTTAGTATGAGTTATTGCCTTTGTTATTGAAAACGCGTTCAAATTTAGCTCTTAAACACTAAAAGGCATGATTCTTGCTTGATTTTGACAAAACCTGGTTTTATTATTCATTCCCTCGCTGAATATTGAATATTTGCCTTCTAGAGTTTTCACGAGCTAAAAATTGAACACGTTTTCAAGAACAAGCGAAATAACTCAAACTCCATATTATTCAGTATCGCTCTAAAGAGTTCAAAAGAAGTCTATGTCTGAAGGTTGAATATTTCATACTGGTGATTGTTACTTTACTGCTAAATATTTTTATTCAAAATCAAAACTGCCAGTGGGCGTATATTACCTTGCCTGGCAAGCTATCTTTAATAAAAGAGTTTAATTTAATTTTACAAAGCTTGCTTGACCTAAGAAGTGTGAACATCATTTTTGACCCCATATATCCCTTTCAGTCAATGTTTCTCATGGCGGTGAATTTATACCTTGCTCAGGTTTGAATTGGACAATATTCTGCTAAGAAAGGTTATCTCATATTTTGTAGATAAAACCCAAGGGAATGAATTCTCTAAGAATTTTGAAGAAGCTGTAGCTAAGTTAGAATCTACAGTGAAATATTTAGAACAAGATGTTAATGATAGAGGTGAAGTGATAGATCTAGCTGAAACTAGTCAATTATTCTATGATGAACAGTATAAAGAAGCAAAAATAGTTGTAAATGTGAGTATATTTTTGTGTCTTGTTGTTAATGAGTGATGGTCTTTATAAAGAAGCCAAAATAGTTGTAAATGTGAGTATATTTTTGTGTCTTATTAATGAGTGATGGTCTTTATAAAGAAGCCAAAATAGTTGTAAATGTGAGTATATTTTTGTGTCTTGTTGTTAAAGAGTGATGGTCTTTATAAAGAAGCCAAAATAGTTGTAAATGTGAGTATATTTTTGTGTCTTGTTGTTAAAGAGTGATGGTCTTTATAAAGAAGCAAAAATAGTTGTAAATGTGAGTATATTTTTGTGTCTTGTTGTTAAAGAGTGATGGTCTTTATAAAGAAGCAAAAATAGATGTAAATGTGAGTATATTTTTGTGTCTTGTTAATAAGTGATGGTCTTTATAAAGAAGCAAAAATAGTTGTAAATGTGAGTATATTTTTGTGTCTTGTTGTTAAAGAGTGATGGTCTTGATAAAGAAGCCAAAATAGTTGTAAATGTGAGTATATATTTGTGTCTTGTTGTTAATGAGTGATGGTCTTTATAAAGAAGCCAAAATAGTTGTAAATGTGAGTATATTTTTGTGTCTTGTTGTTAATGAGTGATGGTCTTTATAAAGAAGCCAAAATAGTTGTAAATGTGAGTATATATTTGTCTCTTGTTATCAAAGAGTGCTGGTCTTTATAAAGAAGCCAAAATAGTTGTATATGTGAGTATATATTTGTCTCTTGTTGTTAAAGAGTGATGGTCTTTATAAAGAAGCCAAAATAGTTGTAAATGTGAGTATATATTTGTCTCTTGTTATCAAAGAGTGCTGGTCTTTATAAAGAAGCCAAAATAGTTGTATATGTGAGTATATATTTGTCTCTTGTTGTTAAAGAGTGATGGTCTTTATAAAGAAGCCAAAATAGTTGTAAATGTGAGTATATATATGTCCTTTGTTGTTAAAGAGTGATGGTCTTTATAAAGAAGCCAAAATAGTTGTAAATGTGAGTATATATATGTCCTTTGTTGTTAAAGAGTGATGGTCTTTATAAAGAAGCCAAAATAGTTGTAAATGTGAGTATATATTTGTCTCTTGTTGTTAAAGAGAGATGGTCTTTATAAAGAAGCCAAAATAGTTGTAAATGTGAGTATATATTTGTCTCTTGTTGTTAAAGAGTGATGGTCTTTATAAAGAAGCCAAAATATTTGTATATGTGAGTATATATTTGTGTCATGTGGTTAAAGAGTGATGGTCTTTATAAAGAAGCCAAAATAGTTGTAAATGTGAGTATATATTTGTCCTCTGTTGTTAATGAGTGACAGTCTTTATAAAGAAGCCAAAATATTTGTAAATGTGAGTATATATTTGTGTCTTGTGGTTAAAGAGTGATGGTCTTTATAAAGAAGCCAAAATAGTTATAAATGTTAGGATATATTTGTGTCTTGTGGTTAAAGAGTGATGGTCTTTATAAAGAAGCCAAAATAGTTGTAAATGTTAGGATATATTTGTGTCTTGTGGTTAAAGAGTGACAGTCTTTATAAAGAAGCCAAAATAGTTGTAAATGTTAGGATATATTTGTGTCTTGTGGTTAAAGAGTGATGGTCTTTATAAAGAAGCCAAAATAGTTGTAAATGTTAGGATATATTTGTGTCTTGTGGTTAAAGAGTGACAGTCTTTATAAAGAAGCCAAAATAGTTGTAAATGTTAGGATATATTTGTGTCTTGTGGTTAAAGAGTGATGGTCTTTATAAAGAAGCCAAAATAGTTGTAAATGTGAGTATATATTTGTGTCTTGTGGTTAATGAGTGACAGTCTTTATAAAGAAGCCAAAATAGTTGTAAATGTTAGGATATATTTGTGTCTTGTGGTTAAAGAGTGACAGTCTT